AAATTATATCGATCGGTTACAATTAACTATCGCTACATGTAATTGCATATTTCACCGTTCTATTGGCGCTGTATGTAATCTTTACCTAGGACAAGATAATTCGTTGAAAAATAAAAATTTTTTTTTCTAATTCTTAAATGAAACAATTGATTCGACATCTAATAGTTTTATTTTCTAGACTTTAATCATACGTGAAATAGTTATGTCTCAATTTTAACTCTGTGTATGCTTAATTGTAGATGGCGTAAGGACTATTTTCAATATAGCAGCTGTTCTAAATATTGTCATGTTTTACTACTATTCTTAGTCAGTGATAGCATATTTGGAAAACAATTAACTACATCGTTAACACGAACATATTTATATGACATCCAATCTTCCTAGTAAATTATACATTATAATTGTTAATCATACACACAACTTCATAGCCTCTTGGCAACTATTACTGAAATTATAAAAGTTTGAAAAAAATAATGAAATTCGTAAAAACGTCACCTCAATAAAATAAAATCTGTCATATCAGAGGTATTCTCGTATTACTAATGAAGGAACACAAGTTTTCCTTTCTTCCATCCTCCAAAGACCCTTTCATTCTTTATCCTTAGAAGAAATAAAGCCAGAGTCGTAACACTGGGATGATTAATATCCGGCTGACAGTTTGTGAAACGGGCAGCCAATAAACGGGATAAAAATACTGGTGAAAAATAGCGTGCTCATTAGGGGTACAGTGACATCTGCGACTGCTGCGACGAAAGTCTTCAAGAAGCATGGAACCGGCTCGACGAAGGGAAAAAGAAGACAGGTTTATTAAATTAATGGCGGATCATTTTCAATATTCCAATGGGAACGCGTTGCATTCGCTGACTAGCGGAACTTAATAACTTCTTTGCCGATGATATTATTATCTCCTTCTTTAATCCTCGTTGAAGAATCCTTGATAACTGTGTGTAATTACGAAATTAAGCATCAAATTAAAATAGTTAAAAGAGTAAAAAATATTATATATAATTTTTTTCAAATGTAACAATAAACTGAACTTTCTGTATTGTAAAACACAATACCTAGTTTTAAGGAAATTTTAAATAAAATATGTAATACCACACACATATATCACAAAAAAAGCACTCTCTAATTGAATAATTTAATATTTCAATACACGTAATATTTTAATATTTGAGACGTTTAATACTTTAATATTTGAGAAACGTAATTTTAATTTTTATAAGTTTTTAAGCAATACATTTGGGAATACTTTTTAATCACTAAACTTTTTATTCACATTATTTCTAGCTCAAAAAGAAAAGATGGCTTCGCAGATGGCGCTGACGTTTGGTGTCAAATGTATACAATGTACACAGTTCGAAATTACGTTTAATTAATTAATAATATTTATTATACATTAATAAAACAAATATATCAATTGCGTAATAATACATTAACTGTCGTATCTAGAGTTTTCTTTTTTCACTGAAAAAATGGGTGATGGTAAGTCGATTGTGATATTATATAGCCCTAACCTTTTACTACAATCTTCCAATTTTATTCTGTGAAATAAATCTGTGTACACATCTGTGTGTCTGTTTAAACAATTAAAATTTATTTGATTTACAGAAGAAGTAATACGCCGAAGATTACTGATTGACGGAGATGGAATTGGAGATGATCGTCGAATAAATATACTTCTAAAATCATTCATAAAATGGGCAAATAGTCCAGATGTAGATAACACTTTGCATGAAAGAATGTTGTCCCAGCTGGCTCAATGTGAATTTGCACAAAGGAAATCCAGATTAGTCTCAAATATGAGTCAAGAAGAACTGAAGAGCTACGAACAGTTATCAAAGGAAATTGAAATTCAAATAGAGGAGGCTAAACGGGACATAGAAAAAACAAAAGCAGAATTGCAAGATGCTAAACGTGTTAGGAAAAATAGAATAGAATATGACGTACTAGCAAAAGTTATAAACGAGCAGCCGGATAGAGTAGAAACCAATTTAAAGCTTGCTACATTACGTGAAGAATTAGGTAAACTAAAGGTAAAAACATTGCATCGTAATAGTAAAAGACTACATTTTGTTATTGTTAAATTTAAAGTTAAAATAATTTTTCTGATGTTTAGGAAAAGTCTGAACAATTAGAACATAAATTAGAAATGAGACGTAAACAGTTCCACGTTTTAATATCTTCCATACATTCTTTACAAGGAATGTTAGATGAGTGTGATGAGGAAATAATGGATGTAAGTTTAGAAAATTATGAAGACACAGATACTTCAATACCTATGAAAACTGAAACATCTTGAATCACAATTTTTTTGTAAATATTTGTAATTAAATACCTTTCATTCCTTTCATGTTTCAAGTTCCCTTTTCTTTACAAATATTTTAAATTTATCAATATTAAACAATGACAAAATTTAAAAAATAAATTATATACACAACATTACGTACAAAAAATATATTATCCAATTTTTAATTTTAATTTGCTAGTTTTTGGAACATGTCTGATAGTTAAAGATATTCTAGTTCCTCGTTTTAATGTTTCTCCTTCTGAAAATTTTCCTCCACACATACTTAAGTTTTTTAACACAGACTTTGAAATAACATCGATATCTCTTTCTGCAATTGAATGCATGTAATTGTGATATAAATCTCCTTGAAGAATGAACAGACTCCTACGCTCTAATAGAAAACTGAATTCTAAATTAGATTGATGTTGCTGAAACAAAATTTTATATGTAATTTACACAAAATATACTATCATAATTTTATAGTTTTTACCACAACCTCTGTACTGTCAAGTCTCTTATAAAAATCTAGAAGTGTATGAGAGCCACAACTTATGGTTGTTACAATAGAATGAAAGAGTGGACCATCTGAATGTGCCTAATAAATATAAATATACTTCACATTCTTATTATATACTTATGGATATATATTTTGTTTTTTAATTTGTAACTATACCATTATTCCTTGACCAGGTAGATATTCATTAATTAAAACATGATTAGGTAACTTGTTTTTCTCAAATATATCACACGATGATACTTTATTAATATATTTTTGGAGCCACTGAAAACTTTTCATTGGTATAACAAAATATATACATATATTATTTAATTTTGCTATTATACAATACACATTCTTCCATCGTAAGTACATCAATTATTGTACAATACTTACACCTGGTATTTCTTCAGCTATCATACCTTTCGGATGAGGTATACCACCCCAATTTTGTAATCTGCGATTACTTAATTGAGTCCATTTTGGTAAAGGAGCACCATTCACATACTTTACTATTTCATCTTCTTCCTCTTGTGTAATAAAATTTGGAATATAAATAGCTAAATCAGGTATCTGTGAAAAGATCACAAAACAATATTATTTTCATTCAAATAAAAACATAACCTTTAATAAATAAATTTGATATTGAAATGAACCTCTGGAATCATATTTTCATGAAAATGTTTATGTTCATTCATTTTTTAATGAATGAAATACTTAAAAAACTGTTTATAAAATATATAAATACTAATATATTACTATTGAAAAAGCGAATATATTTGAGCGCTAGATTTGTTCCTGTTCAAACCTAATATACACACTTGTATGAATGTATAAATAAATTTCTTTTTTATCAAGAAATTCTATATCTCTAAAAATTTCCTTTAATTTATAATTCTTTAT